ATTCTAAGTCTAAGTCGTCTATGACTCGAGTCACAAGGAAGCACCTGGAGCATCGCCGTGGAATGCGAGCTCTTCGCCGCTCTCCACTCGCTGTTCAAGGTTCCTCCCTTGCTCTGTACACCCTCTTTTTCACGACAACCTGTGAACCGGAACGTGCCCTCCCTCCAAACCGACTTGTCGGCAGCATGTCGCCAGGCGTTCCTGGCGTAAGCAGCTTCGTCAAGCCTGCGACAGACTACTCCGCTTTGCTTTGGGGTAGGTGTGCAGAAAGCATCTGCAGAAACCTTTGGCAAGCACGGCCTGTGGATCAGAGCTTGGCCGCGGCCTGCTGCGGCGCGGCCTCTGCAAACATCTTCGCCATCTGAGCCAGCTTCGTCGACTGCTTCACACCCAAGTCCAGCATGATCTCCTCGGAGCCTTGGACAAGCCCAAACTAGAGCAGCAGAGCCGAAAGCTAGGACTAAAGCCGGCCTCCAGGGATGGCCATCGCTCGCACTTCGCGGTTCAGTCGCTCCACCTTCTCTCCCTGACCTCCGCGCGAATAGGACAAGCCTCCGAAGATCTGGGCGGCCTCTCGAGCACAGTACTCCATGACCTGCAGGGGCCAGGAACACAAGAAACGCAGGCGATGAGAATCATATCCAATCTGGGCATGCGTGGATCGTGGGCCTTGGTGCACTGGACCTTGCAGAGAGCCGTGTGTCCACCCAGCTTCAGCATGGCTTCCATCTTGGGCATGGTATTGAGCTGGAAGGTAATCCATTCCAACCAGTTGTGGGTTGCTTCAATCATGCGGGCCATTTCTGCCACCTTCCAGCGAATCACTGGGTGCTGAATCAGGGTCTTGCCGAAGGTCTTACGCTTGCCGGCGAACTTCAGGGAGTCTTCCAAGCAAACTCGGGCGAAGCGCGTGCTCATGGCGCAGAAAGCGAAGCGCTCGTGGTTGAAATTCTGCATCCTTTTTTCTTCAACAAGCAGGCCAAAAAAGACCCAATATATATACAGCCAAAAGGTTTAAAGTTCTCCCATTGGCTATCTGAGCATCATGTATTGGAAGCCCTTACCCTCTTTGCCGAGAAGGTTGCCCTTCGGCACCTTGACCTTGGCTGTTCCGACTTGGTCTTGGGATCCCTAACGAGACAGCATGACCGTCGCTTGCCACGGCCATCCCGAGCGGCATCGTCAAAGGTTATGTAGGTGGTGCCACATGACCACGCACCCGAGCACTTCATCTTTCGCGTCTCCACTCCGGGCATGTCTTTCTCAACAAGCAGCAAGCTGATTCCACCCACGCCCGGCTTTCCTGTTCGGCAGGCCACAGTGAAATAGTCTGCAAAGATTCCGTTTGTGATCCACTTCCTTGCTGAACAGTCAGACAACTTGTGACAGGAGCTGTAAACCAATTGTGGCAGCCACTCAAGCAACCACCCGACAATGCTATATCAAAGTCGTGCTTTCCTTGCTAAGCTTCTTTTCACCATTCAAGATGTAGTGGTCGCCCTCCAACTTCGCAGAACACTTCAAGTTGGCTACGTCACTGCCCGCCGTCGGCTCGGTGATGGCCAGACAGCAGACCTTCTCACCCTTCACGCACGGAGTGACCACGCGCTGCTTTAACTCTTCGCTGCCGTGGTGGTAGACCGGCGGCAGGCCAATGGTGGTGCCTCCAGCGACAGGGTGCATGATCCCTAGACACCACGAGAGATGAAGACTAGACGTGCCTCCAGCAATACCCCACTGAAAGCCGACTGATCCGGTCCGTGACATCTCGTCGTACCTCGCTTGGTGCTGTGATCGCGGACGGCACCGAGTTGTCATTGCGGCAGTAAAGTGTTTCTAAGATCTTACGCGGCTTTCTAGCAACCAAACACCTTGGCATTGCTAGCAGGACGCATGATCAGCTCATGGAAATAGTCTGGCTCGAAGCCCCAAGGAGCCTGGCCGGCTTCTGGGCTTCAATAAGGTCAACTCATCGCGCTAGAAAGCAACGCTGAAGGAAGCACCAATTGTAGAAGCAGGCGCCTTGCCGTAGTATTTCTCTGGCCAGGGCCTTCCGATGCATAGGGCCAGTGTGCCCTGCTTGCCAGCTTCCAAGTACCTTTGGCGAGCTAGCGCTGCTTCCGCAGTTCTCCCCCGCCTGCATCACACTTTGACATAGGGGCCGGTATGACCAGTTTAGTCTACCATGTACTTTCTGACGCCACCAGGAGACATCTCCTTGGGGATGACGCCCTTCTCGTCCTTGGCAGAAAATTTGCACTGCTTGCAGGAAGTAAAAGCAGGTCTCAATAGCCACAGGAAAACAACTTTCTGCTGGTCCAATCTAGCATCCCAGTCGTGCACATTGCCTTACTTGTCCAGCTTCCTGGGGAAACAACGTAAAGGTTCGCAGGATTACGTAGCCCAAAACGGTCAAAGCTTGCTTACGAGACTGCTAGGTCGCTCATGATGTGCTCATCAACGTACTCGCGCATCAGCTTTCGGAACTGCTTGTGGCTGTCGTTGTAGTAGGGCGTGTTGTATGCCTGATACCATGCTGGATCGCCGAACGGATGCCCCTCGCCATACACCTCCAACCAGCACAACACATGCAAATTCGTCATGCAAGCGTATCTACTAGAAGCAAGTTGGGCAGGAGACCTCCGTGTTCATCCCCTTCAGCATAGCCGGGCTCACCATGGCGTATGTATGGCGTTGAATCGGCTCTTGCTAGGCTGGCGCAGTATTCTGGTGCAAAATGCTGAAGCCACAATTCGGCATGCAAACATGCCAGGCCCCATCGCAAGATGTACTTTCCCGATCTTGCAGAATCTAGCCTGCAACACTGCAGAGAATGTCCATTTTGTCCGATTTTGCGCCATCGGACCCAACTAAGTCTAAATCATTCTAAGTCTAAGTCGTCTATGACT